AAATGTGTTAGTAGCAGCATTATAACTAACTTTCTTTACGAGTAGCGGCGGATCCAGGATTTTTCAGTATGCTGGATTTCACCTTCAGACTATGGGACCCAGATGAAATTTATAGAGGTATGATATTGGAATCAAATGATGAGTTTTTATTAAAGGATTTTTGTAATGGGAGTTTGCGAAAAAAATTAGCATTTTCCTGAGCTCCCCCAAGATTTTTCTTTCACAGTTAGGGGTATCTTGTTTTTTAGAATTTAATAGTAAGCTACATCGAAATTCATCGACAGATTTCAAATTTCATCTAAAAATATGCATCCGCTCACGAGTTACAATGTTTTGAATTTTTTCTAAAATTTTAGCACCATGCAACAAATTTTCAAAACATTATAACTCGTGAGCGGATGCATATTTTTAGATGAAATTTGAAATCTGTCGATGAATTTCGATGTAGTTTACTATTGAATTCTAAAAAACAAGATACCCCTAACTGCGAAAGAAAAATCTTGGGGGAGCTCAGGAAAATGCTAATTTTTTTCGCAAACTCCCATTACAAAAATCCTTTAATAAAAACTCATCATTTGATTCCAATATCATACCTCTACAAATTTCATCTGGGTCCCATAGTCTGAAGGTGAAATCCAGCATACTGAAAAATCCTGGATCCGCCGCTATTTACGAGTGCTGTCGAGTCCTCTGAACAAACGGCGATCTGATAGTTTAAAGAATTATGATGGTGATTAAGAGGGCGTCCATGAGATCATCGAGGAATTTTTAAAGGGTCCATACTCCCGAAAATTTTGGCCACCTCATTTTATTTGTGGAATCGATAGCCCATGAGGTGAAACTACTCTACCCAAAATATTTGCTCGATTGATTATATAACAAAAAAGTTATGCAGACCACACTGATGACTACACACTGATTAAGTCAAAATTGATACGACGTAGTTATCAAGCAAAAATCAGTATTTTTGAGAAATTATCTCTCAAGATTAGTTGATCCCAGAAATTTGGATCGTACATCGGATGGGCAAATAAAAAAGCTACAAAACCAGCCTAAAACAAAAAGTTTTTAATCCGCAAAAAGAAAATTTTTTTTTGGGAGTATGGGGTTTCTCGATCCTGTGGTGGACTCTCTCTTAAGTGCATCATATCGAAACTCGGCTTCACCAATGCACGCACCAGCTTTCTCAAGACTAAGGTTTAAGGTAGATAATGATGGAAGTGCGCCGGGTAAGTTCAACCGTACAAACTCGTACGAGTTTCGTCCTCCTAAGATATACAATGATTGTGCAAATTGTTAATACGTCTGTTGAAACGTAATTCATCAATACTTAATAATCGGTCTTTTCCGCTTAATAAGCAACAGAGATCTTTGTAGATTCCTCTACAGATCGAATCTCCAATGATGAGTACCTTTTTTCCTTTAAATATTTTTCGTACCTCTTCTGAGGTAACATCAAATGTTATCATCTTAAAAACTCCAAAATCAAATATATCTATAAAGAAAGTATCATCTATTTATTGCTTTATGAGAGTGAACTAAAAGGTAACGTAAGTCAAAAAGAATGAGAAAAAATCTCAGACTATATCTTTTTTTTTTTAAATAACAATAAGTTCTTAATTCAAGTATATGTTCATTTTCGTATGTATTTTCTGAGCCGTTACAGTATGATGAAAATAATTATCTAGTTACGTTCTAAAAACAGGATTATTGGCCATGATATAGAAAAATCGTTTTCATGTTTCTCCTCTTCGGCGCATAGAGTCCATCCTGTACGAAGAGGTAAGACATACTCGGAAAATCCGCGCCCATTAGTTTATATTAATACGAACATAATTCGGTATACCCGTGCCCATTTTAAATTTTATTCGTTTTTGTTTAATGTTCTAGAGAAAGTTGTGCATGAAGAACTCATCAAGCGAGATGATTCAAGTGCTTATTTAGCACTCATATCAAGACTTTCTAATATTTTAGTCTCGTCTGTATCCATCTCAGTATTTTGAGAGTCTTGTTCTAATTCTCCAAGTTCTGAGTCAACTTCTTCGTCATCATTGTCATCACTAGGATGTTTGGCCTGTTTATTTTTGATGATTACTTTATCTATTGATGACTCTTAGGCACAGGATTCCCTGGATTCCTAGGATTCCCATGGGATTCCCAGGATTCCCGTGGAATTCCCTGGATTCCCATTGGATTCCCAGGATTTCCAAGATTCCCAGGATTCCCATGGGATTCCCTTGGGATTCGGAATCCCGGGAATCCGCCGTTTCCCCCTTGAAAAGACCGCTCCGACTCCGCTCCAGCTCAATTTTTTTCCAGAAGAGCTTCGCTCCAGCTCCAGTCTCGATGAAAAAAAAGTCGCTCCGACTCCGCTTCAGCTCCACCGTTCTGATGAGTCGCTCCGCTCCATGGAGCGGAGCTAGCTGCACGGAGCGGCCGCTCCAGAGTCGGAGCTGCCCATCTCTGGCTCAAATCCATATTTTTGATTAACATTGTAGAACATGAAGAGAATAAATAAATTATTTTTTTTCAATATAAACATGTAAATGTGAAATAAAAGCAACAGATTCGATAATTATTGGTTTTTAATGATGCTAGTCTACGAAGAAAAATCGAAGAGAAAGAGCAGAATGAAAAAACCACAAATACCTCGTACAGTTTTTATAAAATGTCGTTAGTTTTTAATAGTCATAATGTACCCATACGAAGAAAGAAAAAGAATGTCTAGAGTAAGAACTATAAATGAATAAGTTCTAGCAAGAGTATTTCTGCCGACTAGCAACCAATGTTGAGGATTATATTTATAATTTCTTGTCTAAATCTCGTTTTTTTCTATGCTTTCACCAATTTTAGAAGAATATAAAATATAAATGCGACAGGTTGGGCGCTGAAAGGTTATTTATACTAAGTTTTTACTGTCAATTCAATCAGTGATAAAATTTAAAAAAACCTATAGTGTGTTTTTTTACATTTGTATTATCCACTGTTTCATTCATTTCGAAAAACAAAAAAAAGATTCAATTAGCTTTTTATTCTTTTTCATCATGATATGTGACGTTAATATCTTTATGAAAGTTACATTTTTTATATACCTGATAGTTTTTCTTATTCGTGTAAACATACTTTCAGAATCAGCAATTGAATTTTATATAAATACCATAACAAATAGTATTTGTTTCTCGTTCCTTATTCCCTTTTCTTTTTTTTTAACAGAAAAATGAAAATCATATTCTTGCAAATATTTCTCGCAGCACAATTACTTTCAGGTTTGAGATCAAGGATTTTTTTAACATATTCTTGTAGTACGAGAAGTCTGGAGATAAAGCATAGTTTATTCATTCGAACATGTATATCTATCTTCAAATTGCGAAATTCTATATCTATGTGCCTGGTGATCATTGGAGATTTCGATAGGTTCTTTTCATGTGATACAATGTGTTCAGTATTCTCATCATTTTGTAAAGAATCATATTTTTAGATATATTACATCATTGCACGAAAATTGTCATGAAGAATATTATTAGCAGACGTTCGTTTTTTCGCTTAATAATCTTTGGTCTTTATATATTGACAATATATTCGTATGGTAATTATGAATTTATGGATAATGATCACGATTTGAATGCCGCGAAAGAAATGACTTTTGAAAATGTCATCAAATATATTAATGATAGGCACAAAATGGAACGAGCTTCAGCTAACCTATCAATGGTCACAAACTATACGTCAGGTAAGAGTCTTTCCTTCATCAATTATTTATAGATGTATTTTCTTTTTCTTTGATATTCTCTTGATGAATTGTTGATCAATGCTCTATGAATATTAGATAAATTGAATAGAGCTCAATTGATTAGATTAAGAATTCAGAAGGCAAGTTTACAGATTATGCTGAAATCCATGTGTACTCATTACATGCTGAAATCACATATGGATATGTAAGCTTTAAATCGTATGGAATGTGACTATTTAATTGTCTATGCTATTTGTTACGTTTTGAAGACGAAGCCAAATCTATAAAAAGAAACAAATACCTATTATTTGCCATTGTTAGTTATATTTTATTGAAAAACAAGGTTCTATGAGTTTTGATTATTGGTAGCGATGAATAATTTGAAATAATTATGCCACTGAAAGTACGCAAATTATGTTGTGTTACCTCGATAATAGCTACAATTATTAGTCGAAATTCAGTGATTATGAATAATATCTGACAACTTTTCGATGTTTGTAAGAATTTTTTGATACTAAAAATTGAAAATGAGTAGAAAAAACTTTAGTCCATAAAATGACTACTTCCTCGAGGTCAACGATAGCATGTTTTATTATTTAATCCTAGTATTACCAAGTGGGTATGGGTGTGGGTGTGGGTGGGTGTGGAGGTGAGTGTGTGGGTATGAGTCAGCGACTTGTTTTTACTCACATCCACGCCTACACCCACACCCACCCACCCACACACACCCCTCACCCACACCCACCCACACTTACACCCACACCCCACACCTACACCCCTCATCCACACCTACTCACACCCATACCCACCACCCACACCCACACCCCACACCCACCCACACCCACACCCACTCCCACACCCACATCCTTTTGAACCTTGTTGATGAAGATTTTATTTGTAAATTGAGGCGTACAACTCTTATCTATCACCAGCAACACAAACAACTCATTTGGTGAAAGTAGAATGAAGGTGCTCGAATTTCTATTTCTATAGTGCCTATTTGGACATTCTGCTTATACAATCGTTCTCTATAGGGGCATCATTCCAACTATATTACTGTAGGGATAAGTGATACTAAGGAAAGAATAAGTGATTTGATACAACGGGAATTATTTTACTGTTCATCTTGATTCCCCATTTATTGTATCATTATTAGCAGGAGAGGATATGGATCTATGTTGATCAACATTTTGCTTTCGAGCGCCAAATTGTTCTTGTTCAGTAGCTTGTGGCGCTTGAGCTTGTTGTTTTTCAGTAGATTGTGTTTCTTTCATTTGTTTTTTTTAACAGGTTTTAGTAGCGCTTGAGGATGTTGCTTTTGAGTAGGTTGTGGTGTTTTAGGTTGTAGTTTTTGAATAGGTTTTTGTTTTTCAGTAGGCTGCACTGTCTGAGGTTGTTCATTTTTGGTAGATGGTGCTGTTTTAGGTTGATGTTTTTCAGTAGTTTGTGGTGCCTTAGGTTGTTGTTTTTCAATTGGCTCGGGTGTCTGAAATTGCTGTGTTTTTTCAGTTGTTTGTAATGTCTGAGGTTGTTGTGTTTTTTTAGTTGTTTCTTTTTGCTGAATAGTTTGTGGTGCTGGAGGTTGTTGTTTTTCAGGTTGTTGTGTTTTGTCAGTTGTTTCTTTTTGTTGAGTAGCTTGTGCTTCCTGAGGTTGTTGTTTTTCAGTTGGTTGCGGCGCCTGCTGTTGTTGTGCTTCCTCAATTGGTTGTGGTGCTGGAGGTTGTTGTTTTTCAGTTTGTTGTGGTGCCTCCGGCTGTTGTTTTTCAGTTGGTTGCGGTGCCTGCGGCTCTTGTGCTTCCTCAGTTGGTTGTCGTGGCTGAGGTTGTTGTGGTTTTTCAGTTGTTTCTTTTTGTTGAGTAGCTTGTGCTTCCTGAGGTTGTTGTTTTTCAGTTGGTGGCGGTGCCTGCTGTTGTTGTGCTTCCTCAATTGGTTGTGATGCTGGAGGTTGTTGTGTTTTTTCAGTTGTTTCTTTTTGCTGAGTAGTTTGTGGTGCTGGAGGTTGTTGTTTTTCAGTTTGTTGTGGTGCCTCAGGCTGTTCTTTTTCAGTTGGTTGCGGTGCCTGCGGTTCTTGTGCTTCCTCAGTTGGTTGTCGTGGCTGAGCTTGTTGTGGCTTTTCAGTTGTTTCTTTTTGTTGAGTAGCTTGTGCTTCCTGAGGTTGTTGTTGTTTTTCAGTTGGTTGCGATGCCTGCGGTTGTTGTTTTTCAGTTGGTTGCGGTGCCTGCGGTTGTTGTGCTTCCTCAGTTGGTTGTCGTGGCTGAGGTTGTTGTGCTTTTTCAGTTGGTTGTAGTGCCTCAGGTTGTTGTTTTTCAGTCGGTTTGAGTGCCTCAGGTAGTTGTTTTGCAGTTGGTTGGGGTGCCTCAGGTTGTTGTTTTGCAGTTGACTGCGGTGGCTGAGGTTGTTGTTTTTCAGTTGATGGTGGTGCCTGAAGATGTTGTTTGTCGGTAGGCTGTTTTTGTTTAGTAGCTTGTGTTGCTGGAGATTGTTGTTGAGTAGGTTGTGCTAGTTGACTTTGTGGTTTTTTCGTTTCTGGTACTTGAGATTGTTCTTGTTGAGTAGACTGTAGTGTTTGAGCTTGCTGTTGTTGAGAGATTTGGGTTTCCTTTTGTTGAGGTAAATCTTCTCCAAGAATTGTTCTTGAAATATTTCGAACTTGTTGTGTAGATATTTCATATTGCTCGGATTCTTGTGTTTTATTCGTGTACTGATTACGAAACGGTGACATGGTGTTTTCGGCAGTTCTTGTTTGTTGCTGCTGTTGTTTATGATTTTCATGTATATTTGTTGTTTGATACATATTTTCTGAATATGATCCTGTTTGAAATCGATCGTTTAGTGTACTAAAACGGGCTGGTGCATGTTGAATATGTGATGGAGCAACTACTTGTTGAACATTGATAAATTGGTTTTTAGGTTGTTGTTGTTTTTGCATTTGATAAAATTCAATAGTATTAACAGGTGGTTCCAGATGTTTCGGTAATGCTGAATAAGTTATTGACAGCATCGGTGGTATTCGTGTTATCGTTGTTGGACATGAACCAGAATTTGATGCATCACTTGAATGATGTTTGGGTAATATTGTTTTTGATCTTTGTTCGTATATTTGAACTGGTGCTGTACCAGAAAATGTACTCATAAGATTCTAAAAATGCTGTATTTTATAAGGAAATGATATTTAAAATGAATACACACTCGAATTCCAGCAGGATTTTCGAAGTGTTCTTGTTGTTGTTGTTGCATTCTTTGAGCAGCCATTATACGTTGTGCTGCATAATAATCTATGATCGAAAACGAATATATTAACCTAATATTTTACCTCCGAACGTGAAAACTATTACCTTCTTCATCTTGTCGTTGTCGTTCAGCTTCTGATCGACCGCGTTGTCGTTGAGTTGGAGATACTTGTCGGCAATGTTGTTCTCCAACAATACTAGCTTGCGAGCGATGTTGTCCTTGATGATAATGAGCAGATGAAGATGATTGTTGAGGAGCAGCAGTAGGTACTGATCGAACTGATACCCGTAGAGCCTGTTAAACAAAAATCAAAGAAGAACAGTAGTTTTTCCATTAAACAACTCTATGGATAAAATTAAACGACACCTATATATGAGAACAAAAGAAAATGATCATACTTTTATACGATGATCATGACCTTGAGATGGATTTGCAGTCCATGTATCAGCATTCCGATGTGTATATTTAGTAGCACCCGGAGTTTGATAAACTATCACAGGATTCATTGAACGATCTGGTTGATGACGAGAATCAAATTGAAAATGTTGATGTTGCGGTGAAATTTGTATTGGTTTTGTTGAACGTTGAGAGTGATATTGATCTTGACTATTAACCAATCGTATAGTAGCTTGAATTTTATTTACTGGTAATTGATATGGATCATCATGATTATATATAATTCTGTCTAAGCGAATTTGTTGACGTGGTGAATGTACACTTGATATTCCCACAGGATAAGTTGAATAATCCGATGTACCATATGTTCTTGCTGTTGTTAGAGACGAAGAATAATTTGGATATGACTGTGAAGTAGTAGAACAATTAGGATTAAAATAGTATTGACTACCACTACTTCCATGTTCAGTGTAATATGTAGTCATTTTAATATGATTAGATAAATAGTAAAACTAAAACTAAAATATAATAGCCAACTGAAGATATGACAAAAAACAATGAATATATGTTTAGCAGTCACAAACTAAACGGACTATTGTTCGAGTTGTTCTATCAAGCGACGACTTTTTCTTTCTTTGTCTCTCTTGTATCTTTTTGGTATGATATCTTCCTTCGTCATCTGTTAAACTATGTATGTACAGTATAGACAAAGAACAACTCCAAAAAATATGTTAGCCAAAAGCAGATCTATCATCAATAATTTTTTTCTTCTGTATGAATTAGATGTTTTTCCTGCCATCGACGCAGAGAAACAAAGAGCACACATACATGGCTATACAGAAGACAAAACTATTGTTATCAATAGAGAGAATAAATATGGAACAAAACATTCTATCACAACCACTCGTTTTATGTACATGGCAAGGGATATTGTTTTCTTATATACTCTTAGTCAAAACGTATCCGGGCATCTATTCAGCGAATACAGCTAATGATCAACCACCATGATTGAAGTTGAACACAAATATTCGAACAAAAAACAACACACCTTCCGCAATTAGAGTTCTTATATCGATTTTCGTATATTCTGTGTCGATCTATCTCATTTATTTTTAATAATTACGAGAATAAATTATAGTTGTCAGCCGAAAATCAACATTTTTCGCACAAAAATTGCTGCAAAAAGCTCTTGTCTCGTATTGAAATTCAAAAATGGGAATTCAATTTACGTAAAAGCAGTAATGCCATCTTGAAATACAAATGAGCATTGTTACTTATTGATATTTCGAATTGCGAAACCAAATTTGAGTGTGTGGAATGCTTTTTTTGGAAAACATCATCTCTGTACGTTACCTCATATTTTGTCGATAGCACTCTCATTTTACAAGGTATCAATGTTTCCTCTTCACCAGAAGATAGCCATTTCTTTGAATGTGGGTGTGTGTAGGAGCCCCTGTTCGTCTTGTCTTTACCCACACCCACACCCACCCACACCCACCCACACCCACACCCACACCCACACCCTTTATATTATACTTATAGCAGGTATCAACTAACTATTATGTATCTTGCTTAACTCTAACATTGATATGATTCATTTTTTCAAAGTGATAAATTGATCAAGTCGCGCTTTATTGTTGACGTCTTAGATATAATATTTTATCTGCACAAAAATCGATAAATTCAAAGGCGAATTTCAGCCATTGATGTTTCAATGAAGGGTTTGTAAGGAGGGAAAAGTCATACTGATAGACTGCAGAAGTACAGAGCAGCAGTGGTGGAGTTAAAAACTTTGAAGGAGATGCGAATTTCTTTATATTCACTTAGTAAAAGCTTAAAAATAGTATGAGCCCTTTTAGATAAAGTGTAGCATTAATTTATGACATTGCCAAAAACAACAAAGAGAACGAAAGCGTCCTATTCAAAACTATAAAGCTATACATAAAAATCAAATACAGAAATTAAAATGGTACATGCACCGAGAAGCTTTGACAATAATTGTTTCCGCATCTATTAACAAGTTTCTACATATGTACGTGTATGCTAAGACGTTGAATTCATTTTTAAGCATAGTAAAACGGAAATGGTTTTTGACAATTTTCAATACAACAAAAAAATTAAAGAAAAAATACTTCATATTATTACTTAACAGACGTAAAATCGACTAACCTTTTCCTATATAATAAAAAGAATTTTCTTTATAGTTATTTACTGATAATATTCATGACGCTGTGAACGATTTTTTTTTTCTTTTTGTCATATTCGATTTAATTCAGTTACATTGGGTTTATTTAGGTCAAAGAAATGAATTTAGAATGTAATAGAAAGACTCAACGTCGTGCTTGTTTGATATGCCAAACGTATTTGTAATTGGAAAACATAGATTTTTCTTATATGAAATATTTTCGAAGAAGGTCGCGATTGCCTCGTCGTACCTTCTAAATGCGCTACTGAAGAGAAGTAAAAAAGTATGTTTTTTTCCTTGAATCTTTGAAATATTTCAAACTTTTCTAGAACATTTAACGCCATGTTATTGATTCCCAAATGGAAGACGACGGAAGAAACTTCGCCTTAAAACTAACACTCACTATTTTCTTCGAAAATCTACATGACTCTCATAAAAAGATTTAACGACATGCTCAATAATGTAGAAAGCTAGAACTATACCATTAGTTTCTTCTGTGTGATACTCAGAAGGTGACTCATCGAGTGAAAGACGAAGGTATCTTTCAGCTTCATCAAATTTTCCCATATTAGCCAGAACAATACCAAAGGCACCGACACTTGTATGTCCTTCACCATGATAGGCAACTTTCATTTGATCGAAGATGGGCTTAACATCATGACCATTATCACTACTCAACACCAAACGAATGATACATAACTGGCCTTCATAGCGAACATGAATGAGTCAAAAGATCGATCCCAACATCATAAGTACTTCTTCTTCGTCACAATATAACTAAATGGAGCAATATTAGCAAAAGGTTTGACTCCGGTGATACGAGGGTCAGCTTCCATCTCAAACAATATTGGTTGCAAATCACCATTCAATACTTCGATATCACCAAGAAAGAAAACAGCCACTTCTCGATTAAGTGTCGTGGAAAGAAATGAATTCATGGAAATCAATTGTCTGATGAAACTTTGGAACTGTTGAACTTCTTTTTTAGACATTAATTGACTTCAATAAACATGCGTTAGTGATGGAGATTGATATCGTTCGAGTTGATTCCGAAGATCACGAATAAAAGATCCAACTAAATAAAGATGCGAAAAACAACGAACTTGAAAGTGATGAGTGAATCCAGTGAAGAAATCTATTGAACACAGAGACTGAGATCAACCAATTTCTGATCAGTGTTTGACTTGTAACTCCATTCTTGCAATCATAATTTTCCAACCTGTATTTTTGGTAAAAATTTCGTGGAAATTGATTTAACTTCAACCAAACTTTCACACATGTTGGGATTTCTGACCAACACTGTTATTCAAAATATTCTATGAAATGTTAAAATGTTTGTATTTCTGTAATAATAATAATAATAATAATAATTAGAAAGCTCACATTATGCTATATGACAAACATAGAGACATCTAATATATATACTGTTAATATCAACCTTCTTCACTAACAAAACATGTAAAAACACGAACATTGATTACATGAATCAAAAGTAAATATGCACTCTCTATGTCAGTTATCTTGTTGTATTCTTATGTCATAAAAAAAAAAGAATTACATTTATAAAGATACGATTATCAAATAAAGACAAAATTTACATATTTCTTTTTTCTCTTTTTAAAATCAAGAAGATCTATTTTGACGAACAAATATGTAATGATCTACAATTGTTGAAGATTTGTTTTCAAAGACCCAAGCTCTCAATTTTTGGTTGCTTGAAAGTATAAACTATTTCTCTTTCAAAAGAATTTTTTTTAAATAAATGGTCGAATCTTTTTCTCATAATATTAAAATGTGACACAAACATTGATGGATTTTAGGGTGAATGTGGGTGTAGGTATGGGTGCGGAGACGATGTGAGTGTGGGGTGTGGATATCAATCTTGTGATCGCTCACATCCAAACTCACACCTACTTCCACACCCTCTTCCTTCTTATTCTTTTTTCGCAACGCCAACATTTGAAGACAGATGTGAGCGCAAATATTTCTTTTTCATCTTTTTCCTTCCACTTTTAAAACAACAAACAAAACAAATACTCAATGCCGTTTGGTTGTTACTCAGTTTATGTGTGGATGACACCAAGAAATTGAAAATTTTGCTTTGAGTATCTCTGCCTGAGGATGAGAAAGATGAAATGTTTTTTGTGCTCACGTCTTTTAATTCCATTAAAAAAAGGAGTTATTTGTTCTCAATACTTGAGATTATCTACAATGTAAACGAACAAAATTTATGGACTGAAGCTGTAACAACTGAGAAAGAAAAAACGTGATTCATTTGTTGTTGAAGAAGAAAATAACAAAAAAAACGAGTTTCATTCTTTCAATAATTTTTGTGTCTCCAATTTTTTTTTCAATCACATCAAATAGTGAACCAATTCCTATTGAAATGAAATAGACACATGCGAACAAAATTCTTTCTAGAATATTTATTTTCGAATAAGTGTTAGTTCAATTGGCAGAAAAAATTTATTCGATTATTATCCTTTGTAAATTTATCACTTATTCAGGTTAGTTCTTCTATTTATCAAAAAAGATTTTATCTGATCAGTAACTTTAGAATTGTATTCTAGTATGATAAATCAGTAGGAAACATACAACAAACGTCTTTGACCGAGATTATGAATATATTCAGTTCATTCATAGCACATTCTTCAAATTAATTCTTTTTTTGCGGAATTTTCGTATTTTATGAAGGAAAATAGAGGATGTAAGTTTTAAGTTGAAGTTTTCCGGCTTTCCTCCCTCTACAAATCTTCACCAACTAGCGTCAAAGACTATTGGTTACGATTTCTATAGCAAGCAGGGGATAAGGCAATGGGTGCGTTTCACTTAGGAATGTGGGGTGTCAAAGGTCACTGAATACGTTTCCTACGAAGATATATGGGTTCCACATTTTAGTTGGGGTGTGGGTGTGAATCTTCTTTGTACCCACACCCACATCCACATCCACACCCTCTTTCCTTCACTTACACGCACACCCACACCTCAAGATTGTGCCGACAAGCTTTTTTTGTATCGATCTAAGAATTGGAAATGAGAGACCGAATGAAGGTTTTAAAATATCTTACGGAGCAGTAAAAAAAAATCAAAAAAACATCTTGCTATATATGCTTGGTAATAACGAATAATTTTCAGTAATCTGGGAGTGTATATCTTCTCAGCTCCTCACTTCTACGACTTCTGCTGAAAGTTTAGGCGTTCCGAACAAATTAGTGCTCCTTAATGGGTCAGTCTGACTCAATTTGTGTATGATAATTATCGTAACTGTAGAGAAGAAAAATATCAAGGTGAAGTCAGATG